ATGGTTGCCAGGGGTCAGGGGTGGGCAAAATGGGTAAAGGGAGTCAAAGGTACAAACTTAGAGTTATAAAAAATGTAAGTCATGGGGATGTATCAATTTTAAAAAGAAATAATGGTTTTAAAATATGTCACTTCAAGTTAGGGACTGCAGAGAGTTTTCTCAGGTAGGCCATCCTTAGCCTATGAAATTGCTTTGTCAATCCAGTTACACTTAAATGTCTGAATAAATAAGACCTACTTCTTGTCTTTGCCTTTAAAGGGTTAAAAGATCTTAGTCACAGAGTGGTGATCAGGCTTTAGGGTACACATGCATTTTATTGTTTGATGTCTAACAGTACATTTTCAAAATCTCTGGCTTAAGAACAACTACAATGTATTCACTTAGTTAGAACTCCCCAAAAAGGTCATAGACAGAAAAGACAGAGGAAAGAGGAAAGACGAAAGGAATTCAATACTCACTTTCTTAAAATCACATAACCTAAAACAAGAATAGAATAAAAGAGACTTAACAGTAACAACAGGTTTTGAGTCTTGTGGGATTATTTCTTAAGACTTCTGCTTGCAAATTGTTAGGTAACTGCACAAGTTAGATTTTAACACTTTTCAAAACATCCGTCTTAGTACATGAGTCCTTGCACCATATATTCCATATAAAGATTGCAATGTTTTATTACTGTAATTGTTGCTTAGAAGCTGTTCTTGAAACTTCTTGTTATATATGGATGTGCTTTCCTTACCAACAACCTTAGGCTATATTTTTCTCCAAACAATACTTGGTCAAAGGGGCATACTTGGCCACAGAGCCATATCCTTATACTTGTGGGTTTTGGATATCCATAAAAAGCAAAAACAAAATACTATTTTTGGAACCTGTTCAGTTATCTTTCCCTTTGGTTTGGAGTTTTACTGTAACTAATTCAGCCCCCCAAAAAGTGCTTAGTAAATAGTAGGAGTACTATAAATGATAATGGATGACTCACTGTAAGCTCAGTACTTCAGGGTTATATAGGGAATACTAATTCATCTCTATTTGGAAGTGAAAAACTTATAATTTTATAGAAGCAAAGCTTCCCTACATGGCAAAAGTTTCTTTGAAAGAGAATTTAACCCAAATGTGCAATTCTTTCACATGTAGGAAGGAGATTATTATTACTATAATAACATTTATTATTGTTGTTGTTGTTGTTAGAAACCAGTAGTAGTAAAAATATCAGTAGCTAAGTCATGCTAAGTGCTTTTCTTTCTCTTTTTTTTATTGGCAGCTACAAAAAGTCACAGGAACTAGGTGCTTTTCTTATATTATCTCTCATACAGTCTTCCCAATGACCCTATTGTATAGATGCTATGGTCGTGCCCATTTTCATGGGTGAGGAAATTGAGCTCAGAGAGATTAGGTCATGTGTTCAAAATCACATGGCTAGTAAGTGGCAGGACCAGAATGTGAACTCAGTTTAGTTTAGTTAAGATTTGTGCTTGGTACTTCCAATGCAAGAATATGAATTTAACTTAATTCTCTTCAAAGTTTCTACTGCAATGGCTGAAGGGACATGAAAAAGGGAGGGAGAGAGGGTCAAAAAGAAGGAAGAGAAAGAAAAGGGAATTGATATCTGTGCTACAAACAGGATGATCACCATCCTCGTGCTAGAACAAACATTGGAGTGCCTTCCACAATATGAAATTCAGACAAGACCAGGCTGAGGTAAGACTCCACCAACCTGAGAAGTACTGTATATAAAAGCCCACCTATTCCTAGCTTACTAAAAATGTTTGAACCCCAAAATGACTGTTAATTTTATCTGTTGACCATAAAACAAGAGTCAACTAGGTGTTCCTACACTAAAAAGGATTTATTGGTGGGGTGGGGGTGGGGGCAGAGAAAGGATTTCATTCCTGCAGGTGCAGACATGGCAAGCCATGTGTACACACTCCACAAGAAGAAGCAGAAAACCCCTTTACAGAGGGCAAAAGGATGTTAAGGGGAGCGACTGTTACAGCCATGGAGCTCTGTTGTAAACAGAGCTCTTCCTGTAGAGCTTTGGTGAGGACATAGGGTATGAGAGGTCCTCCCACAAGTTGTCCTGATTCTGTCTAGGTTAAGATCTCTGTCATAAATTTTTACATATCAAATACCTTTTAGCATCTATTTAGGTAATCTTATAGTTTTTCTCAATAATATGCTAATTGACTTAATAATATGCTAAGTTATATTAATAGAATTCTTAAATATTCTTGGAATAAGCCCTTTATAATCATAAGCAAGACAGTTCACTCTGCAGAACCTGGAACAACTCAGGAACTGGAATCACCAAGTGCCTCAGAAGGCAGAGGAAAGATCTTAAAATATCCTTTGTCTTCCATTAGGATTCTTAGAATTTAATTTAGAATTAAGTATTAGTTGCAAGTAAATACTTACACCATGAAGCAATTATTTTATTTTATTTTTATTTTTAAATTCTTAAAAATTGTCTAGAGTCCTCTGAACATTAACATCAAATGATCCAGTGAAGTAGGACCAGCTGTAACTCTTAAACAGCTTGGATCAGAAAGAACACAGCTACTACTACTATAGGTAAAACCAACAAATGGCAGATGGTGGACAGAGGAGCAATTATTTTTAATGCAACCAGCACACTTACATTGATACCTTGTATATTAATTAATTGAATTTCAATGAATACTTATGCAATAAAGTCTGAAAATAACTGTAAGAATGCAAGTGTCATTACAGGACCTCTTTCTTGAAAAGTCATTTTCAAAAAAGCTAGTGTAAACATGAAATATTTGTAAGAACGAAAACTTTAAAATCTTAACTAGTGTAATTTGGATTACTTGTACTTTTCTCTCTTTTCAGTTTGTATATGCTGTGGCAATGACAAATCTCTTGATCTGCTTAATATTATCTATGTTATCATTTATGACATGAGAATTTGGGAGAATTGAAAGCAGCTTTGATTCCTACCTTATAACTCCTTCAAATATTTTGTTATTTATTAAGCATTTAGCTTTTATAATGTGACTTTTAGAAGTCAAGTATTTTCTAGACTTATTTAAAAAAAAGACAAATGGAGAGTAAATGTTCTTATTTCTACCCTACCAAAATACAAGAGAGTGAAGAATAGAGATTATGCATTTTCAAGATTTAAAAAGTGATTTTAAATACTTGGTTGTTTCTGTTTATTTTCTAAAAGAGGAAAAGGAGAGGGATAATGGAAGATGAGACTTGGTTGTAAAAAGGAAAAACCAAAGGTAAACAAAGGATCACAGTCAGAAAAAAATTAATAAGGAAATAAACCAGCAGAAGACAATTACCAGAAACAGTAACTCTGAGCTTTACTTTCCTTCATTTAAGTTTATTTGCACTCTCACCCTCTTAACATCTACAAGTATTCTGCAGGTTGAAACACAGACCCAGCTTTGAAAAATCAAAGTAGAAGTCAACTAGGATAGCCATAGAGCAGTTATAGATGATTAAGTTTCAGCCACTGGTAGTGAGTTTTTGTTTTTTGTTTAACAGCTTATTGAGATATAAATGATATACAAGAAAATGTACATAGTTAATGTATTCAATTTGATGAATTTGGATATATGCATACACCTGTGGAGCCATCACTATAATTGAGATAATAAGCATATCTATCACCTCCCAAAGTTTCCTTGTGCCCGTTTGAAGTTTTTTGTTTGTTTTGTGGTAAGAACATTTAACATGAAATCTATCTTAACAAAAATTTTAAGTGTACAATAGAGTATTGTTAACAGTAGGGACTATGTTGTACAGTAGATCTCTAGATCTTACCTTGCATAACTGAAACTTTATACCCATTAAACAACAACTGCCCTTTTCCTCCTCCCCCTCAACCCCTGAAACCACCATTCTATTCTGCTGCTATGAGTTTGATTATTTTGAATACCTTCAATAAATGGAATCATGCAGTATTTGCCTTCTGTGACTGTCTTAATAATTTCACTTAGCATAATTTCCTCTGGGATCATCTATGTTCTCATATATGGCAGGATTTCCTTTTTTTTTAGGCTGAATAACATTTCATTGTATGTATATACCACATTTTCTTTATTCGTTTGTCTGTCAATAGGCACTTGGGTTGTTTCCATATATTGGCTCTTGTGAAAAATGCTGCAATGAATATGGGAGTGCAGATACCTCTTTGAGATCCTGATTTCAATGCTTTTGGATTTATACCCAGAAGTGGGATTGCTGAATCATGTGGTAGTGAGAAATTTTGATGACATAAGCATCTACATTTCTATGTAGGGATAGCTAGGTTTCTTGCAGCTGTTACCTAAACAGCAAGCATTTGAATGGAACTTACTAGGTCACAGTTGGAGCTTTTTCACTTCTCTTTTTTATGGTGTTAGCCATAAGGGAAAAATACTCTTGTTTTACCAGCTAGTTGTTTCATTCCATTGTCCTGTTTTCCCTATCAGTCGTCTAGAAATATTTTGAAAACGAGATTGGAGAGTGAAAAAAAGGCTTTAAATTGTTTTTTGGCATCTGTCAGGAAGACTTGAATAGGGCATGTCTTTTGGCTCTTCTTATAAACACTTGTTAGCAGAGGGTTAATGAAACTAGTGGTTAGATCCCCCAATCGTGTACTATGTTATAGTTTAAAGCCTGTCTCTAAACAGTGATATCGAATATGTACCTTTGAATATGAGGATAAATTAACACAGTCCTACCCATAATGAGAAGAGTCCAGAGTACATACTATGTTCATCTTTACAGAAGAAGAACATCCCATTGCCTAAATTGGAAACCACAGAAATGCTTCCGCTAATCAAACATACTCAGTCAACTTTCCAATCACCTAAACAATCAATGAGCTAACCATGTTGGCTTTTTCTTTCCAAAATAGTGATTGCTAATCAGATTTGCAGCTTCTCATCTATGAGCTAACACTGAATCGGTTATTTCTGCTGGCTTTTTCCACCATGCGTGCTGCCCCATTCGTCTGGATCTCTGAAACAATCTTATTTGTATTACAGAGCTCTCATTTGGAAGACAGTGAATCAGCAGCATTTCTTTGCTGTGAATGTGAAGAATCAGAAATCTTTAGTGATTCCAATGTACGTAGGTATATGATTTTATACAGTCTTTGGTGACCGAATGAAAGCTTTTTGACTTTTAAATGCAACTGAGATAGTGCCTATTATTTCATCTATTTTGCCTCACTCAGACAAATAGTTTGGGAAGGCAAATAAGTGACTTACAATGAGTGTATATACAAATAGTATGGTATATTTGTATGAATAATAATCTCCCCTCATAACATATCTATAAAAAAAAGAAAAATGTTGTACCTGGAACCTTGAGTCAATCTCCCTCAATAGAGAGTATGATTGTGTGTGTGTG